ACGGCTCGAAGACTAGATGGCCATGATAATATGAAGTTTTGAAGGCAATTTTGTCACCCGTTGACATCTTACGGCTTTTATCGAATAAAAACACGGCGCAACGAGCATAAGTTGAGTGCTCGTATGCGCTGTACGAGTATTTTCCGTAAACAGATTTGAACCAGAATAGCACACCATCCACTGAGCCATCCGCACTCACTGTTACTTCCGATGGTACATCAGCACGGTACAGAAATTCGGGCAGATCAGTCCGAAGTAATGGTACTGGCTGCAAAAAAAAAACGGTACCAGATTACTTAAGCGAAATGAAATGTCTGTTTTGACTCCGGGCAATTAGAGGGGTCGGGAGGAGATGTTTGTCAAAATTAATATAGAACAAAAATTTTTGAAATTTCTGTTTTAGGAAGATTTTATCACTCAAAAACTAAAAAAAAAAATTCTGTCTAGCTGCCATCCGTTAGGGTTATGCTACAAGCGGCATAAAAAAACTGACGTATTGGAGGGTAAACTAAATGAGTAGTAAAGCAAATTGTGCGTACGAAAAGATAAAACAAAATCCAACCGTATCAAATGGAAGAGTAATGAGATCGAATGGCGCAGAATAAACCTCATGCACCAACGTACTGCGCTAAAATGTAAGAACGAATGTACAACTTGCGAAATATCCGTAAGGCTAGTCAAAGTAGCGTCCCTCTCAATACAACATTGGAACCACTAGTGTACGAAGAACTAGTACAAAAAGCTGAATTTTTTATCAACAAGCTTTATCCGTATATACCATTCGCATCCGCCTTCAATCTCATCTAATTTCTAGCAACCACCTCAGCGCGAAATTCCAAGTAAGACCGAGTTGAACTAAATGGTCAAATTTAAGGGAAAAAAAGCCTAAAACGTGAACAACCACTGTGGAAAATCCACTTAAAACTCTATGAGGGGGAAAATGAAAAGCAAAAAGCAAAAAAATTAAAACAACCTCGATATCGTAATAAAATGTGATTGCGAGATCATTGATAACTGAGAGATCAACACCCTGATATGCCTGTGGACAGGGCTTCGATTTATGCACTATTTCTGGACAACTAATAAGCTGTCCTTGCACGATAATTGTGGATGGAATGAAAATGGCCCTTTCGTTGCATCGCCGAAAATTGTAGAAACGATGTAACATCTTATCTATCATGTAACCATGTAAATTCATCGGCCAGAATAACAGTACATCTGTCTGTTTAGCATCCTGGAAGAAATAATTACAGGCATTAAACGCTGCTTGCTAATTAAAGCAGTGGCTCGTGCACACATCGATTATCTAATGTAACAAAGCCAAACTTGCACAATTAAAATGAATGCGATCAAGTTTCCCAACAAGCGTGTATACGACTTGATGAACCGAAACGTTCTCGTAAATCAAATTTTTTAGCGTAATTTTGTATTTTTATATTTTATAGGTATCAACTGTCCCACCAAGTACGGTAAGAATTACGAAAAAACTACAGAAAGCTCGCTGGCAAGATCATCGAAAGAGGGCAACCGACAAAGTGTGGAAAGCTGAAGGAGCTCACAGAGCAGTAATGGAAGTGCAGAATACTGTGTTCACGTAGCGACTGTAAGGATGGTAACTGAGTAACCGTTACGTTCTTTTTTTGGCTCTTCTGGCCAAAGTTTGAGGCTTACCTATAACGGAAAAACTGAATCTGAACCGCCAAGAATTTCTCTCAGGAAAAAATCTTTTTGGAACCACAATAATTTTTACAAAAACTTATAATTAATTTTATACAGATAATTAAAAATAATGATCGAGAAGCTGAATTAAAAAAAAAACCTCAAAAATCATTGGTGCTTCAAGCAGAGCTGGTAGTTGGGTTTTGTTCCTAAGAAACTGATGTTTTTTCTTCTGATATGCTGAAACAAAAGTACGGTTAATTTTAGCATGAAATAAATTTAATGAAAGGACGAGAAAGATAAATGCTGAATAACTAGACGTTACTGCTGAACTGAATCTGAATTTTTCCACTCCCATTTAAAAAATTACCCGAGGGCATGGCGCAACAGGAAGTAGTACCATTGTTGTACAGAGAGTAAGACAACTTTACGGATGAGACAACAAATCTCAAAACGAGTCATTTCTTCTTTTCAGTGGTAAATTGATAGGCATACGCTAGGAAATCAGATTCATCATTAGCTCGCTCGGAAGCAAACTTCGAAGGAGGGAGCCTTGGCAGCAAAGTAGTTGCTGTTGCATCTGCTAACACTCGCACTATTTTCCGAGTACCTACAAACCTCGTAGAAGTTCAAATACGGAGCGGGTCCTATTTGACTAAATTTAAAAATAGTAGGATTCCCTCTACTATCCAGTTCAGAAGAACGCAACACTGACATAAATTCAGCAAATTTCTTGTTC